AAGGCAATAATTTTACAACGAAGAAATAAAAGCAAACCAGCAACAAAAATCCAGAAAACCTGCAACAAGGAACGAAATTTGTAGTCCAACAAAACAACGGCAAAGTTCGAGACCACAGAGCATACAACATTCAAATTACTTGAGGCCAAACACCCAAAGTTCGTTATAAATCAACTCAACAATTTTGCAAATCAAATACCCATAACCAATTAAGGTTTCTTACACAGCAATACTGCAAAAATGGCACTAAATATCAAAATTCGAGCATGCACAGTAACTTCGGTACTATTAATAGAGCGTAAACAATAATTTCGGCATTGTTAAGAGCCCTCGAAACCATAAAAAGTCAACAACCCATCAACTATTAGCCCTCAAATTAGACCTAGCACCAAAAACCATTAGTCACACTCCTTAGGCTTGATTTGAAGTAAAGAAGTCGAAGAAAATGGCCAAAAAAAAATCGTCATAGATGATATCAACCCTAATCGAACATATTCTTTCTCTAACTAAGGATGCGTTTGACAACATTTTTGTTTTGTATTCTTTTTTTATAAAAAAAAATAAAACTAATTTTTTTTTTGATAAAAATTAAAAAAATATAAAACATGTTTGATAGTCATTGATATTTAAAAAATTATGAAAATAAAAATAAAAAATATGTTTGGTATTTTACCCAAAATCTACCACTCAACACCACTTAAATCCACCACCAACAACCAGCTAACCCCACCACAAACCCAACCCCCAAATCCCTGGTAATCCACTACCCAACATACCGAAAACCCACCCCACCAACAACCCAACACCACCGAAACCCCCCCCCCCAAAAAAAAAAAACCCTATCAAAAATCCACCCTTAACACCCCCTAGAACCCCCACCCCAAACCCCAAAACCCACTCCCAACACCCCCCTAAAACCCACCCCAAACTCCCGAAAACCCACTCCCAACAGCCCCAAAAACCCACCCCCAACAGTCCCAAAAATCCACCCCCAACAACCCCAAAAACCCACGACCAACAACCCCAGAAACCCACCCCCAACCCCCTGAAACCCACTAAAAAACCCCCACCATCCCCACCAAAAACCACAAGAACAATTACAAGAGAGAGAAACAGGAGGCAAGAGCTGGAGAGGCACAGAGACGAGAAAAGGGAAATGAGAAATCAAGAGCTTTTATATTCAAGTAAAAAAATTATTTGTTTGCTGTTAACAGGACTCGAAAGTTAGACCTCATTAAATTGTGTTTCCAGTCTCCTATTTCATTTTTTGGATGTTTTCAAAAATATCTTTTTAGATGCTTTCATAGTTTGGCCTTGTTTTCAAAACGGAGTATTAAAAAAAAATTAAAAATAACCCCCAAGCGTCTTTTTGTTTTTTTTTTTTTGCCATAAAATGAAAACAAAAACAAAAACAACTTGTTACCAAACACTACCTAAATTATTGTGATGCTACAATATGTTTTAGATCGAAATCATACTCTGATACTGGTCAAATAAAAAAGAGCAAAAGGAGAAGGAGAAAATATTATTATTGCTAACAACTAAACCTAAAATACAAAAAATGCCCTTATATAATAGGGTAACAAAGAATAAAGTAAATGCCCAAACCACCCTTAATATTAATACTCTAACGCAACCCCATATTTGTATACTCATTTTTGGCCAAATACACACCCGTAAGGAGCCCCAAAATACCCTTGTTTCCACAGCCCAAAATCAAATTGTGTCCCATCATTTGTATGAGACTGTTCTCGCACTGGTCCTACATCAATATAGCCATGGTGTTAAGAGGAAGGATGTTTGGAATTGAAGAGGAGAAAATCTCACAGATAACTCAAAGTCTGGTTATGATTTGGGATTTTTTAGTGGACAGGCTTAATTAGTTTATGCTACTAAGGTCTAGTTGCTGCTTGTTTTTGTTTTGCTTACTGCTCATAGTTTGCCTATGTATGTTGTCAATATAAGAAGTATGCCTCTTGGGTAAGGAACTAAATTTCATTTTGAAATGGTCAAATTATCCGAACCATTTTCATTACCATGGAAACCAAAATGAATGCATGATTGAATATTGAAATTCGTATGTTTTGAGGTGTTTCGGCACGTTTCAACATGTTTTGGCACGTTAGGGAACTAGTGATAGTGCTTCTTTAAAATATGTGTAAAAAAGTGGTATGACGGGTCAAAAAGACCAATTTTTCATCATGTCTTGCATGGAAGTAAGCAGAAACCCAAGTTTATCTGCCACCGAAGTGAGATTCTCAACAACTAGCAAAGTTAATAAAACAAGACAGGATACATTGGTCAGCCTTTGTAATCTTTAATCCACTTTATGTGGTAGGCAATGACTTACTATCTGCTTGACAAATCCTGAAGAGCACCCTTTAAACAGAGGAACCTTTCTAACACATCGCTCATATAACTTCTGCAAAATCTGCAAAGAAGAAACAGTTAAATGTGGCATACGTCATCCAAAACGTGTGCTTGCTTCTTGTAAGAAAGGAAATCTCAGAAATAAAAGCCTCCAGAAAATGAGACAATTATTGAAATAAGCAAAGATGAAATTACATCAAGCATCATATCAAGGTTAGTCATTTAATAAATGAGATGCGCTAGGTCTTCTGATACCTTAGCTCGAATAGACTCTGGAATATCCTGAAGAACAGCAGCCTCAGTGTAACTGCGGCTCTCATAATGCAATCGCACATGATCTGTGATCTCATTACTTAAGTGCTTGCCAAGTTTGTTTCTATTCATATATTTGAGAAGATCTGCCATTTTGTCCCTGAACCTTTCTGTTTTCGATCCTTTTACAGTCAATGCTGCCATGTTACCGAGAAGATAAGCACCGAGAATCATATCAAAAGAGACATAGATCATAATGAATATCATTTCCCTGGTATTGACGGCATGTATCTCCCCGTAACCTGTAGCATCAAGCAAAAAATGACTGCACATGATAAGCAATTCAATGCTGAAGCACCATAAACAACCCCGTTAGAAATAGCAGAACTTCAGGCAAAAAGCTTCATGCACAAATGCAAAACAATAATACCAATGACCCATAAACACAAAAAAATGTGAGCTGAAATTGTGAGACGCCCCAGGTCTCGGGACAAGATATATGCCCATCTCTGAGATATGTGTCAAATAGGCATGTCGAAGACAGGAGGAAAAGAACTCATCTCACTCCTTGTATATGTTCCTTTTGTGTCAAAATAAATGGAGAAACCTATGTTGCAAAATATGTTACAGTGCATGTACAAAGATCTATTAGACACTTCAACATATTATTATTGTGCAAAATATGCCATATCAACGCTTCTCTTTTCTTGGAGCATAAGTGAAGATCTACTGGATATTTAGATAATTCAGTCAGTTCCCAGGGATGAAAGTCTGAAACCTAGACCTCCGTCAAGTTAATATTTGGTTGATTGGTTAGGTATAAGTTCACCAAATCACAAGGCTTCTAATTCTGCGGCACCCAATTCTACCATTGCAGGTGGAAATCAAGAACCTAACATTGACGACATCGCCACTGAAGCAGTGGGCAAACATGGCCCATTCAGGAAAAAAAATGGCAAGAATAGGACCTCAAAAGTTTGGAAAGAATTGGAGACTGTATTTGAGGACGGAAAGACAAATGGCAAATGCAATTATTGTAACACACTTCTGTCTATGGGGGCTAGGGTCCAACAACTCATCTAAAAAGGCACTTGGACACTTGCACAATTAGTCTGGCTTCTATTTCTAGCCAACACAAAGGACCGACACAGAAATTATTGGCTCTGCAGTCAATTGGTTCCAATGGCGAGGTTGGTGGTGGGTTGGCAGCTTACAAGTTTTACAAGGAGAAGGGAAGAGAAATTTTAGCAAAAATGGTGGCATGAGTATCCTTTTAGGATGGTTGAACATGAACTTTTCGTGATGTTTCTCAAAGTGCTTAACCCGCGTTTTGAGCCATTAAAACGGCACACCCTAAAAATTGATTGCATGAAAATAAATGAGATTGAGAAAAAGAAGTTGAAGTCGATATTCTTTAGTCTTGAACGAATTAGCTTGATAATGGACTTACGGACCTCCAATCAAACAATCAGGTACATGTGCCTTACCGCACACTTTTTAGATTCGGATTGGAAGTTGCAAAAGCGCATCTCAAATTTTTGTTGTTTGGCACTTCCACACATAGGGTTTGTGATTGCAGATAGTATCTACAAGTTCCAGCTTAGATTGGGGAATTGAAGATAAAATGTCTACAATTACCTTAGATAACACATCCGCAAATGATGCAACAGTTTGGAATTTGAAAGATAATTTTTCTATCAAAAAAAAGCTTTATTTCAATGGTACAATATTTCATGTTCGGTGTTGTGCACATGTTTTGAAACTTATGGTACAAGATGGGTTGGGTGAGATAAGAGATCGAATTGAAAACATACATGAGAGTGTGTAAGTACTTAAAGATGTCCCTAGTTTGATCATATTTTGTAATTGGCTAATTTCGTAAAGTTTATGCAAATCTCAACCTATTCAATAGTCATGTTGCTACAATGATGAAGATCAAAAGCGTCAATGGAGGGGAGGAGATCATGCTTTAAGCTACATTAAAAGAACTTTTCGTGTGCGTCTTCTTGGTTAAGATAAAGATAATGATCTTAGAGACCTAAGAACTATTGGTTTAATTTATTAGACTTAGCATGATTAGAGTTAAAATGTAATCAGTGTTAATCCGTGAAGGGCACCTAGGTAATTTTAAAAAAAAAAAAAATTTTCTAAACCTCTTTATTTTTTGAAAATATAGTTTGAGTCATTATCGAACATCAATCATGAAAACTTAGATTAAAAGAAGGAATTCATATGTAGAAAAGGAAGAGAGAAGAAATCTAATATTCCATAATCACAATAACTAGTTACAATAGGCACTATATATAAAACCCTACTACAAGAGAAAACATGACTGCCACACCCATTTATGGTAGAGATTCATCTGCCCAGCAATCATCCAATGAAAAAGTAATGATTTGTAGGAGATAGATCTGGCAAAACCACCCAAGAATGTCTCTCCCACACAAGAATCAAAATATCGTTTCGAAACGGTCGAAACGTTTCCGTTTTCAAGGAGACCAAAACGAAATAGTAATAGAATCGAAATTCTAATATTTCGAGATATTCCATAATTTTTTGAGATATATTATAATATTTTAATGCATTTGCACAACTATTTTAAAATGTTTCAAGATATTTCAGGATATTTTGATATATTTCTATCAATGTTTTAGAAAAATAATTCTTAAATTTTTTATTTTTTTTATTATGTTTCCGAAACGGATCGAAATATTTGCGAAGTACGTCAAAACGTTTTCTTTTCCTAGGTGACTGAAACAATATACCGAAACGAAATTTCGATCCTTGCTACCACAAATCATCTAATGGAAAAGTAATGATTTGAAGGAGATAGATATGGCAAAACCACCCAAGAATCATAAACTCAGCTGAAAGACACAAAAACATTACAGAGAATACGAATTCGCCATAGACTAGAAAGGCCCAACAGAAAACGAAAATTTGGCAGAGAGAAAGATGTCTTTTGTAGTGGGTAGAGCAATTTGCCTTGTGTTAAGAGGAGAGGACAAGTTGTCCTCCAAAAAATTGTTTCCCTTTTTTTTTTTTTGAATAAGTCTAAAAGTTGTTTCCTCATTTTGTCATTTTACAATATAAGCATTATCTACAAATTAATTTTTATTTAATTTTCTATTGGAACTTAATTGTATACCACTAAAAATATTTATTGTCTGATGTGAAAGTTAAAATGTGTATACATTTAATTTTGAAGGAAGTGTGAACTGGAAAAAAAAAATTCACGTCTTTGATTTTCATTCCTGTTACGTAACGTCCTCTTCACCACACGTCCGTTACACCGTTACCGTTATATCAGTAGTTACCGTTATTCAGGGCCATGGTCTTGAGTGCTTTTGAAGGTCATCGACAAACTCAAGACTGAATCAGATTGATGAAGAGCCAATTCATCACTAGATGAACTGGTAGAGCAAGATAGGTAAAAACAGTCAATGGATTCCAGAGGAGTAAAAAAGTCTGGATGAAGGTCATGGAGGTCACTTGTGGCTGGGATTGTTCAATAATACTTAAGGGATAAAATAATCAAAATAACCTAAACAATGTTTTTAACATTACTTATATCCGTGGGTCCCACAAAAATGAAAAATTACTTACCAAACATCGAATAGGACATTATATATCATTGTATCCAAACCAATGCAAGTGAATGGTTGGATAGGAATGGATATAAATTTGATATTCTATCCAATCCTTTCCGAGCATCCAAACACACCCATAGATGCATTGAACCAATCCCTAGCCTCCCCATTCACCAATACTGAAAAAGTCAAAGAAGAAAAACTGGCCCTTATCCACCTTTCCCCAAAACCCTTGTTTTTTAATACATCCACAAAATTTCAATTTACCCAATCATATGCCTTTTCAAAATCCAGCCTAAATATAACTAACTCCTTTCTTCCTTTTTCTCATAACATCGTCCACCACCTCAATTGCCACTAAAGCTACATCTAGTATCTATCTTTCTTGAACGAAAACACTCTAAGCCATGGTTATTGAATCTCCCAAAACATCACAAAGTCTTCTAGAGAACACTTTAGCGATAATTTTATACAAATTAGTCACCAAACTAACAGGTTTTAAATCCTTAACTTCAATTGAACGATCTTTTTTGGGAACCAACGTGATAAAAGTAGAATTAACACTTCTCTCCACAACCCCATTAGCAAAAAAATCATTGAATACACGCATCAAATCACCCTTAATAGTTTCCTAACTATCCTGATAGAAAGTCATAATGAAACTATCTCGACGTAGGGCTTTTTCCTTATCCATATCAATAGATTTGTTTAATATATCTTATACTATATATTATATTGCAATATACAATAGGTTTATTTACATGGATATTATTTACTTTTAACTATATATCTATTAATCATCATTATTTAATTTATTGCATGATATTGTACATTTTTTTGATAAAATAAGAATTTTATTATGATTGAGAAGAGATGAAAAATTTGCAATATGGAGTACAAGATATCCTCATAAAGTAAAAAACAAAAAGACCAGAAAAAAACAGAAACATTAAACCAAAGTTGCCTTCCAATCCCTTTGAAGAACGGCCAAAGGCAAACATCTGAACTTCCCAGCAGAATTAGACCATACAGAGGCGTTAAATACAATAAAAAAAATAAAAAATATATGTATTTATTCACATATCAAGTCGTATTCATATCCTATTTTATTTAGACTATGTTGTATCACTGTAACTGTATCCGCATTCATGTTTCCTAGTGAACAAGAAATCCGCAAACAGAAAAACAACAAGGAAATTAAAAGGCAGTACAAAGTGAAACCATTAATGGTAATCATCTAACTACATGCCACAAAATCCCTACTAAGGGAAAAGAATGGCATGTCGCCACGTCCTTAAATTCTTTCGATACCACCACCATAGGGAGGCCAAGATATCAGAGGTTAAAACTAACAGGATTATCAAGGAAGCTAGAATCAAAAACTTCCAATATCTATGTACAGTAAAATCGAGAACCTAGAACTGAAACCTGTGGGTATATAATTCAAATAACAGCAAATATTCAACTCACAAAATCAATAGAAGATGAAAAACCAAGCAAGCTCCCAGACATAAAACGAAAAACTTCAGAAATACTATTCATCTGAATACAAACTAATCATCTCATCAAAGTGATGCAGTATAAAGGAAATTAATGCATAAGCAAATAAGAAGCTTACCAACAGTTGCCATGGTAACAATGGCAAAATACAGAGATGTTATGTAACGTGTCCAGAGATCAATTTCTCTAAAATGTGAGTAACTGTAGTCACCCATCTTTAAACTTCCTATCCATGTATAGCCTTCCTTTGATGGAGGCAGAGTGGTAGCGAGGTAGTAAAAGATGCAGGCTGCTGTGTGTGTGCAATAGAGTTCGACAACAAAAAGTTTTACAATCCTGGTCAACATGTAGTTGATGCGAATGTTTTTTTCCAACTTCTCAAAAAATTCTGTCACTCTGAGTGCCCGACTGAGTCTAATCCATAGCAGGTACCTCACTGGTTCTTTTCTGCCACTTGCCTGATCAGAGCAGATATCTCAGTCATAATGAACGAGCTAAACAACAGATGCAAAAAAAAAAGTTGCACATTCTTGGTGCTAGATGAAAATGACTAATAAGCTGCCATCCATGGCTGAAAGATCAAAGAACACTATCAGAATTGTTTAGAAAGAACAGATATGATTATAGTAAAAATACATAAGGTGTATAGTAACATCTCGTCCCGATAATAGAACAAATAATTAAATGTATAGAATCAAAAATATAATTAAAATAACAATTTGACATATCATTGGGCAACAGTTTCATTTTAAATGTTTTGTTCAGTTTAATATGGGCTATAATTAAGAATATATTTACATCTACTTATATCCTTATATGCATATATTTTAGAGCAATCAAATAGTACTCTTTTAGCACTATTTTAGAGCATTCAAATAGTAACTTAATCATCTCTAAAAGCAAATTGGATTCAAGACTAGTAGCTACTTCCTCCATTTCATTCGGCACTACAGCCAAAAAAACAATAGGATATTCACTTTTTACCTTAACCTCTGGACAATTATTTAGCGAAGTGGCCTGAGATTGTATAAGCTCATCTACTTTATCCCTTTCACTTTGAATTATCAGATTTCTTATTACTTTGTGCAGTTTCTGATGAACCTTCTCTAGCTCCTTAAGAGAATGCAAACGACTTTGATCTTTAGCCCTTTGGAAAGAAGAAATTGTTGATGTATTTACTTGATTAAGGAAATTTAGGTACATCTTCGTACCAAGTGCCACTTGGAACGCAAGAACCACGGTATATAGTGGCTGGCAACACAATTCTGCCTTTACAATGGCTTGCACTCCTATTGGACCATATTTAATATGAATACAAAATTTTTATTTAGAAGGCAGACTCAAACAATTTGACCAAAGGGGACCAATGTTATTGCCCAAATTAGTCAAATAAACCTTTTTACTAAAATTCAAATTGTACTTAAAAAAGGTTGTGTGGAATGTGTGCAAATTTGCACACAAGCCTCCAAGGATCAAGAGGTAAAAAGACTGTTATCAATACTGTTTCAATGACAACTATTCTATGGCCATAAACTACTACCTATGCTAATCCTTCAATGGGCTACTTTAATTTTAATCCCTTGTTCAAGGTGGAAATATACGATTACCTTTCGCAAAAACCTCAAGTCACCGCAAACGACCAAGGGAATGATTTCAAATGAGCACAATCCTATTGACATGATTATGAATGATTGATCAAGGACAAAATTAGATATCATTCCTGATAAACTTCACCATATCCAGGTCAATGGAAACGTTGAAATTTGAAAATTACCAACCTATACTTATAGTCAAATGCTCCATAAAAAAAAAAGTATGAAACATATCATCAAATGCTTTTAAGAATAATTCGACTATTCCAATGTTAGACGATGAACACATAACTAAAACCAACACAAGTCTATCATAAATAACTCCAAGACCATGGAAATAAATTAAACAAGAGGAGGCCAAATTAATTTGCACAAAGAAAATAGGGCAAACTTCACTTTAACGCTTGTGGTATACCCCAAATGCAAACCTCCCACACTACCATGGCTGCCACACTAAAGCCACCATCTCCAACCGCCCCATAAAGCACCAATACAATCAAGCCATGAAAATCACCAACAAGATTCAAATAAACAATACTGCCACATTAAAAAATCAAAAACCAAAAATTAAAATCTACTTAGATCCAAATCAAAGTCAAACAACATCTACCTTGGCAGGTCTAAGCAAATTTATAAGGGGCATTACCAATGCTGAATACATAGAAGTCTAGGCGGCTTTTGTTGCAGTCAAAACTGCTTTGGGTATGGGATATCAAAATATTGTCTTGGAGGGTGATTCAAAATCTACAATTGATCTTATACAGAGGAGGCAAGGTGATCTCTCAGATGTTGGTCACTTTCAGCAAAAGATCTCTGCCTTAATTGGGAATTTTTGTAACTTTGATAGCTCTTGGATCCATAGCGCAGGTAACAGAGTAGCCCATAGATTGACAAAATTTGCTGAAAATATAACAGATTGTGCAGTATGGAGAGGAGTGAGTCCTGACTTTTTGAGTGTTCCACTTCAATATGATTTATAGATTTCTTAATATAATGAAGATGACCGTTTCATATATAAAAAAAAATCAACCAGTACCCAAACACCACCAACACTTCTCATGAACAATTTGAATCAAACTCAAAATTCCATTGCTAATCAAACATAAGGTCACTGCCAAACCCAATCCCCAAATTGATTACAAAGGCTCATTCAACTTGTGCCAAAATCAAATCAAATCTGAATCAAATTGAATGAAACTTATATCCATACCTAGTGAGGCTTATCATGAAAGAAACAAAAAATGGTGGAAATGGTGAACTCACTTCATGTCCTTTGGTTAATTAAAACCAAAACTCAGGTCATCTTTTCTTGGCAGACTAACGTAAATCAAAACTAAGTCCATAGCAAATGAGGCATATAGAAGTTTTTCATTATAATCCGCCCAATGATGGTCAAAATTGCTTGGGTTACACACAGTTTTAGTTCAGAGTTTAGAACAACAGAAGATAAAAGCTGATGATATGTTATGCAAATTGAAAAATCTTACGGGGATTTTTGTCTCTAAAAATAATTTTACACATATCATACCTCCAATTAACTTTGACGGAAATATTGATGGTGCATTTTAGTTCATAAACCACATGAAGATTATGTCGACATTTTTAAATATCATAGAGGTTATGTGCATTCGGGATATACCACCAGGGAGTAAAGTGAAGTTTGCTTAAAAAAATATATAGGACCATAAATGATATTAAGCACATATTAATAAAAAAACATAAACTAGAAAAGTTTGTTATAATGTAAAAGGACAAACAAATGATGGAATTATCATGTCTACGAGTTCTACAAATCCTTAAAAAAGTGAGTTATGAATAAGATAATGTGAAGTTCTATTTAGTGAACACGTTTAGATTGTGGAGTTTGGGGTAAAATTGAAAAGTAGGGTGTTTGTGGTTATTTACTGGTGCAATATTGGAGGGATCTGATATGAAGTGGGTTTGGAGGGTATTTTACTGCGTTTAGATTAATTAAGGGCTTAATTTAACATAATTATTATATTTTCACTATTCACTTTTCAATTTTTCCTATGAAGCATTGATCAAGGAAAACAAAAATCATAATACAAAATAATTCACATGCAACACACGTGTGCATCTAGCGCGATCATAGAAGTTTCACCCCATAATCTTAGGTGGATACTTTTTATGTGAGGCGATAGATCATGATCTACCGCTCACTTATCAAAGAAACCAAAAATCAAATATCAAGACCTACTAGATTTAGCATTTTACTAAATAGGAAGTTTCAATGACATATTAATTGGGATTCTAACCTTATTAGAAAAGTGTATTCATTTGTTTTCAAACCAAATATTTTAAAAACAGAAAAAATATATTTTTGACCCTCATCAATTGGATCAAGTCAGATCAGATTTATATAACCTATCGGATTTATTATTACCATTTGGGATAAAAAAGATAAAATTCTTCTTATATGTGATCTCACATAGCCACCTATATTCGATATTTGTTGCACATATATTTATTTTATGGTTTTATTTTAGTTTTTGTTATTGTAAATAAAGTTACTATGAATATCTTAAACATATTAATGTTTTCCCATGAAGCCATGAATAATCTCTAGTTGCAAACTCGCCCAAATTTGAACTCCTTGCAACCCAAACTAATATTTATAATTTTTTAGTCTGGTTATTGTGTGATTCCTTATATTGTAATTCATGATAGCTCTTACAAAGACAATGCCAAACCGTATTTGAATTTTGAAAAGAAGTATTTGCCTACTTCCTACACAGATCAAGTTTATGACCAATGGCTCAATCTTAGACAACATTTTTCTAATGTCTCTGATTACTTTGCCCAATTCGATTATCTCATGTACTTGTGTGACATTGTTGAAGAACCTTGGACAATTGATCAGTTTATTTTTGGGTTAAGACAAAAAATTAGTAAAGAGGTCAAGTTATACACTTTTAATACGTTAGTTGCAGCCTATCAATATGCTCTAAAGGTTAAGAGATTTCATAAGAAATCTAACTATAACTTGATAAGTTCTCAATCACAATCTGCTAAACAGAGTGGCAGGACACCTTTCAATTTAATTTCACCACATATGAGTATCATGATTACTTGAATGATGTCCATGTTATTTCTGCATGTTTTCCTAATTTCAGGGTGACCATGGATTTGGATGACACACTCTCACATACAAAAAAGATGTTACTCATGTCGACTACCAATCCCCTTTTTCGGTTTCATCAGATCAGAGCTCTCCTCCTTTATACCAACAAAAGTCGATACCTGAAGAAAGTGAATTTGAGCCTTTATCGGAGTGAAATGTTGAGTCACCACTTGTAATGGAACTTGCTGAAAAGTCTATCGAGTCCACACTTATTAAAGATATCAAACATATTGAGTTACCTATTTCATAATCTTTTGGTGATTGTTTTGTGTCCCCTATTTCAAGTCAATCTAACTTTGTTCCAAAGTCTTTCTCTTCTGAAATAGTTGACTTTATTCCTACTATCAAGATTTTACTTGAGTTGTTACTTAATTATTTTCACCGCTAAGGCGTTATTGTTACTCCTTTGTCATCGATGTCTTATCCCAATAAATACTTTTTATTGAAATCTAATGAGAATTGTTTTACTATTCTCAAGTTTGGACTTGATGCTTATTTGCTTAATTTCCTATTGAATGTTGATATTAGTCCGAATTTTTATTTGGAGGGCATGCTACTTAATCGAGGAACTCTAGTGTTTCCTATTTTATTAACATGTGTTCATACAGATGGAGATTCTTATATTTATCTTGATTGATGGAAAGAAGTTAATGGTTCTTTCATTCAAGATGAGACATTATGTCATCTTCATCTACCTCTCTTAGGGTACTTCTGCTTTGAAGACTCTCCGGAGAGTTTTTCTCAACCGGGGGAGAATGATGGGGATCGTAGAGGAATTTGATAGATATTTTAGATTAATTATGAGAGTTATTTGGATACTTTTAGTATTTATCTTTTAAATATTTTCTTTTAACTTTTGAGGATTTATTTGTCATTATTTATGCGTTTTAGGATTTTAGTTTCCCTATACAAAGAGATGAATGTAAGGGTTTTATTTAGATTAGACTTTGATTATTATTGAATACTGATATTACTTCATTCTCAAATTCTTTCTCTTTTCTCATCTTTTTTTCTTTTCTTCTCATCCCTAATTCTTTTCTTCTTATTCTACATCAATTTGGTATCAGAGCTAATACGATCTACATCAATTTAATATTAGTGCTAATGAGTTAATACGATCTACATCACTAACTCTATTCATTACCTTCACTTCCTCCCTATTATCACCATCTATCTGCCTCTATCCCTCTTATAATTCCAAATGATCGAGGGTATTGTAGCTCTAAATATGTTTTGTTAATTGTGCAAACCTTTAGCATTCTAGCACTAAATGAAAACATTAGTTCAATGGGCAAAATCCAAATGTGGTCCTCTCTCCACTCTTGTGCCTCATGTATGTCAATTGTTGGTCATTTTGCTATTTCTGCATGGAGATATGTATACATTAATCGACTCTGTGCTAGGAGATCAATTTTGAATCATCAGAAAGTTTGCCGCATGATTCAAGGTCGCGATATTAGTCATCGACT